AACAACATTTAAGAGAGGAGATAGATTTTTTTTTTAGACTTTAAAGGGTGGTATTATTGTGATCTTTAGTAAGCATGAGGTCTTTATTGAATGTTTAAGTTATTTTTTTAAGCAAAAACCCAGTACACACAGTGGGTCCTCGTGACACATTGGGATGATCTCCCTCTTCCGGAGCAGCTTCTCAGATCATGCAGAGATCGAAGAACAGCTATGTCAGCCTACAGCATACGCTTTTGCATTATTACTGAACACAGGGCAGCTCGGCACCACCTCCTGTGGGTAACTGTTAGCTCGGGAATCTCAGAAACCGTGTTGTAAGACCGATAAGATTATCTGCAATAACGGAAGCACTGCAACGGGGAATCGACCGCACGCAATAATTCAGAATGCAACGAAAAAAACAGAATACAGCACCGTGTAACATCGGCACATGATGCTGCCGGTCTAAGTCCCAGGTAGGTACTGCCTAACAAAGCGTACCATCAGTCTGTCCACCAATCCATTTTCCATAACCACGTATATACTGTAAGGAGAATTAACAATTAGCAAATATCTTTGTCAAGCGCTTAATCAATTCCGTTGTATAAAAGTGCCGTGTAGCTCGTTAATCCATAACAAACCGCTTAATTTCTTTGGGCATTAACGTGGAAGGTTATTCATAGTTCATTTTGAGGTCTTACAATATTAGCGTTGGCAGATTTTTAAAATAGATATATTCCTTCAGTTGTCTACATGGAAATATTTAACTGTGCTTACAAAGGGAAAAAAAGACGTAATGAGGGCTGAGAAGAGAGGAGCTTGTTGCACACTTTTAATTTAGATTTCAGCAGGTTTAATTCACGGGGGTTTTAATCCAGACACTACAAAACAACGAGCAACACTCTTAGTAATAGTACAGCTAAAGAGCTTATCATGTGATGAAGTTGGTGAAAACTCACAGGTGACATTTCAGCATTTCATGACACGTGTGGTAAAGGGACAGGTTAATTCTGTCTGCACTCATTTCCTGCGGCCATATCTATAAAACCCAAAAGGTATTGCAGCACATACGGTTCCCTTCGCACCCAGTTCTGGTTTAATCATTGATATCTATCTCTTCAAATAATCTCCATGTGATATTGCTTATAAAACTCATACAGTTTGCTATGGCATGCAAATGCCCCTGTTAGACACATGTTAAAAAGATTTGTGCCTTGGGCACCAAAACGGTGCCAGTGGAACTGAGCGAGCAGCAGAGCCAGATCACAGCCCTGTGAGGCCCCCCTGTTACCTGGGGGAGGGGGGACATACCCCCATAGTGCTCATACCACGTAAAGGGTCTAGTTTCCTCACAATGTATGTCCTGTGGGACTTGGAGGCCTAGGTAGTTACCTCTCGCTGTGTGTGGAAAGGGGCCTGGGGCCCGGGGCCCCGGCTCTCATCTCTGGCTCTATATGCAGAAGGCCTTGGTGGTGAACTCACACTGTATGTGAAGGTCGTAGTGCTTAGATCACACTGTAAAGGTTGTTACTCACAGCTACTAGTGCTGTGGGGCCCCCTCCAGACCGAGGCCCCGGGGCCCCTGGCCCCACTGGCCAGGTTCGTAATCGGATCCAGCCATGGCACACAGGGGGATCAGGGTGCTCCATATCTACATTGTACTCAGGAACTGGTGTTTGAAGCCCCAAACAGGCATCTTAAGCGCTCAGTCTTTTATCAAATGGGTCCCATAACCACGTGCTACATGCTACATCTGGTGGATGTTCAAATACACCAGCGTGAGCCGTAATTTAGATCAAATGAACAGGAAGCATGGACAAGCAGCGGATTTAGAGAAAGACTGAGGCTAATGCCCGGTACTTGACCTCCAGGGGCGTCTTTTTGCCACGGTTTCGCTGCACGTGGCTCTTGTTAAGAGCGTAACTAGGCTGTTAGTGGAGAGCCGGTGTCGGTCAGGCCTGCTGACCGGGCAGTCGGCACCTTCCACAGGATAAGGGAGTGCAGACAGGAATCACAGGGTAATTGCGCCTCTGAAAGGAGGAAAAGTCATTTTACACCCACACGGCACGTCTGTGCTACGGAGCGGCCAGCCAGACCATCACAGAAAGCAGGCATTATGGTAAATCTGCATCTCGCTGAGTAATCGGTCTGCACTGCCGTCAAGGCCATCAGGGGCCTTTGTTTGCAGCCCCAGGCACGTGTAAAAGATCGGAGAGGCACGGCACCACGCCGGACTTCGGGAAGGGGCCTGGGCCGGGGGACGTACCAACAACTGCGGAGGACCGGCGGGGGGTAAAGGCAAGGGCCACCAGCAGCCTCTCCAAATAACCTCCTGGAGACGGCCAGTTAATGCTGATTATAGGTTTATTGACAAGGAGAGCATTAAAAGGGGGCTCTTTTCTGGAGAGAAGAAAGGTGGGTTACTGACTGTGTAATGGGCGTCCTCTAGTGGTGGCTAATGGTATATGCTTTAAGCGAGGAAGCACTGACACTATATATGCGCTTGCCAACCTAAGTTCATGAATCTTGTTTCTGGTTCCGAGGCGCTGCAGACTGTCTGGACGGGGAACTTTTGTAGTTCCTAGACACTTCCGCCTGTCGCTTTCCACAGCACAACAGGAACTGTGACCGTTGTGCTAAATAACCATGAGTGACGCAAAAAAGACAATATGCTTACTAAAGATCACAAGTAGCTTTTAGAGATGCGCGGTATATCGATTAACGTCAAAGTCGATCCGGTGTGTTGATATTGCAGGCCGATATTCAAACTAAAAAAATAAAATATAACTTCTCAGTGCCAGATCTTTCCTTCTACATTGATCTTTATTATTACTATTATTATTATTGTATTATCAAATCTTTCGTATTGAGACATCTACAGCTGCTTCTGTCCTCTATCATTACAGTTTTAAACTAATCAAGGACCTCTGTAATTCATAGCTATGATTTATTTTGATAGTACGAGTTTATTTATTCAAAACCATAAAACAGAACACGGAAAAAGAAAATGATATGATATGAAGCCATAAATCAGCTGTATTTGCACACACAGGGGTTATCCCGTAATACAGGAGGCCCCAACCATTTTCCTGAGGGCCAAATTGCATCAGCAACACAAAGTCAAGGTCCACTGCATTGGTGTGGGGTTGGGAGGGTCTTAGAAAATTTTGCATGGGGTTCCAAGAGGCTGGCATGAATATTTTAATGGATTCTAACACGAAAACATTTTTCAGATGCACGAGTCTGGTGTAGAGGAACTTGACTGGCCTGCACAGAGCCCTGACCTCAACCTGACAAAACGCCTTTGGGATGAATTAGAGCGGAGACTGTGAGCCAGGCCTTCTCATCCAACATCAGTGCCTGACCTCACAAATGCTCTCCTCGAAAAATGATCAAAAATTCCCATAAACACACTCCTAAACCTTGTGGACAGCCTTCCCAGAAGAGCTGAAGCTGTTATAGCTGCACAGGGTGGGCCGACTCCATATTAACGCCTATGTATTAATAATGGGATGTCATTAAAGTTCATGTGTGTTTAAAGGCAGGTGTCCCGATACTTTTGGCAGTATAGTGTATCTGTCTGGTCTGTTGGATATTTATAAAAATTTATGCTGCAGTTTTGTTGAATATAATAACAATAATTCATCGCACATTTATTCCGCATGTTTAATTCTGACCATCAAATCACACTCACAAATGAATATATTTCAAGTTTTATTTGTCATATACAGAATCAGACTCTGTAACGCTGTGCAGTGAAATGCCTTCCCACCTGCTTCCTGGATGAAATAATGTGCATCTACAATGTGGCCTAACTGATTAAAGTTTCTGCTCTGCGAGACAGGCCTACATCTGAGCATTGTACTCATAGTTTTACAGTGCATTGTACTCATAGTGTTACAGTGTATAAACAATAAAAACATTAATTGATACATATTTGGAAAGTCTTTGGGAAGAGCTGTAGCAATATACGCTATTAAAATGGGTGGTGTGAGACTCAGCAGGTTAGGACTCTACCCGTCAGCAGAAGGTCACTGGTTCAAATCCCAGACTCAGCAGAGTGATTTCAGCTTTGTGTCCTTGAGCAAAGCTTTTATGCCTCAGTTACTCCAGCGACTGTGTGACCCAGCTTTTGATATATACTAATATACAGAAATATACCAAAAATATAATACTGGACAAAAGTGTCAGCAAAATCAGTGTTTCCCAAGCCAATCCTCAGCCCCCGCCCCCCCCCCACACACACACACACACACCTTGTCTCCCTGGTGGTGTCTGCTAGGAGGGACTAGCTAGACTGCTAGGGTGGTCTGTGGGGACCAGATTCGGAAACACTGAGCTAAATTAATGTAAATGGAAATAAAACAATACTGTTTTAATGATGTATACGGGTTCCTCCCACAGCCCAAAGACATGCTTGAAAGTCGTACGTAGTGTATGTGGCTAGTGATGGACTTGCATGAACCCCCCCAGGGTGTCGCCATGAGCCCCTGTGCTAGGCTCCCGCCCCCGCCTCGACCAGGAGAAGTGGAACTTCGGAATTTTATATCTATATTCTGGTTCAGCTCCAATAAAGTTCAAACCGAGACGTCGTTCTATAGATAAATTTTCGTTAAGTGCTTTGGGGCAGCTATGATGGGATTCAACCTAAGTGAAAATGCATTAATAGACACCCCCTCCGTCTAAAAACAGCCGAAATGTCAGTTTCTGGATAACTCCCGACAGCTTTTTATTTGAATAAATATTACTGACTTTTGCCCACGATGTACATTCATTCTATCCGCAAGATTTGGTTCCCTTCTTTATAAGGCCCATTTCAGGACTTGTATTACTATAGATACTATAAATGCTATATATATTTAATAATATAACTTGCATATAATAATGGAGTTGATGGCAGTATTTTAACCAAAGGCATCACACATCGTACTAGATCGCGGTTGACTTCCGTGCCCATCCACCAACCACTATCTTGATACGAATTCCCAGCCAGTTTTGTCCCTCTTTTCTATCCGTACATCCTTTATAAATGACGTATAGCGGAAGTCCCACCCCTTTTACCCCTCGCTGGCGGATTGTAAGTAGCTTATATGAAAGAGCCATTTTTTAACATTTAAAATCCTTTTCCATCCTAACAGATAATACCGGTTTTTCACTGAAATCATACATCAATGTATATTATAGCCTACTATAAACATATTTTTGGTAATTGTTGCTGTTCCATAACATTTTAAGCACTTGAATTTGATTGGTAGCTTGACACCATCTTTCCCTCTGTTTTAGGCTCCATTTCAGTCGGCAAACGCAACAGAATGGTAAGTAGGTTTATATAGGATGTTCAGCTTTTAAGCGGGGGCGTTATATGAAATAATCTGTTTCCCCCTTGCTGCCGTTAAAAGCGCCGTGTTGCCGGCCTGCGTAGCGTTACGGGCCGCTAGGCCTGCGTCTTACGCTGGGCTGCGGGCAGCTGCCGTCGTACCTCCCAGGCGCCCTACTGTTAGCAGTACTAGCTGCAGTTTTTTGCTCCACATTTGGCATTTCAGATGAACTCAAATGAAGCCGTTAGTTTATGTATTACGGGCAGTCTTAATTTTAGTGCATTGTGGGAAAGTCTGACGGAGTAGCACGCGCTTGTGTAAGATGTCAGCAAGCGGTACCGTCCAGTTCTGTCATTAGCTGTGATTAAGCGCGGAGACTTAGCATGTCCGCATGCGCTAACTAAGCGGGCCGAGCGTCTGGTGCCGGTCCCTGGGAGTCCCGTCATCGGCAAAGCCTCAAGTCTTCGGGTTGCCCGATCATCCAGCGCAGGCTGGCAGCGGTACCTGCGATATATTCACACGCTTGCGAGATCATTGGTGGATAAAGTACTGAAACTTGACTCTGGCCGAAACCTTGGTTCCACCGACACGCTGTGTCCAACCACCCAACCCGGAAAGGCCCCCCGGGCGCAGTGGGACGAGCACGCTGTGCTTTGAGGCTGTTGTGTTGGGGGTGGGGGTACGGCTGCGTTAAATCCTCGGATCTGCCGCTCATACCTTATACTTTGCTCTCTGAATTTCAGCCGCGGAAAATCGAAGAGATCAAAGATTTCCTGCTCACAGCCAGGAGGAAAGATGCAAAGTGTGAGTCTCTGTTTCGAATAATGCTTAATTTGTCTTTTACACAAGTTCGAGATCAGGTGCGTTGGATAATTTTCACATATACTATCTTGCTCTCTTGCTTTTAACGTTTGCATACACGGAGAAGTGAGAGCAAAGCGTGCGGTGTGAGCGCAGGGTCAGCCGTTTATCAGCCGCACCTGGAACATTTTTATGGGTTAAGGGCCTTGCTCATGGGACTTGAGAATTCTGCAGAGGACGGGATTCGAGCCAGTGACCTTCCGATCACCGGCTCAGAGGCATAGCCCACTGAGGGGGACCTCAGCTTCATTGCCATGTTTTTGCTTAACCTGGCCCCGTGTGGCTTGTCTGATTAAGGCAGAGGTGAGTGATGTGAGCGCACGTAAAGGCTCTGCCTGTGATCAGAAGGTTGCCGGTTTGAAGCCCGTGCTCTGGCAGAGTCATCACCTCACTGTTTGGCCCTTGAGCATAATAGGATCATGTGTTCTGACTCTCAGCTTCTCTCACCTGTATCTCTCTGCGTGTCGCAGGGAACCAGGATGTAGTGCTGTATGTCCTACCTATACAATGACAAAGGCTTTCTGTTCTACATCTTTGTAGGGACATTGATAAACCAGAAAATCAGCCCCCCCATGCATGTCTCAGTAGGAGACCAGAGGACGTTTTCCTTGGCCCAGTGATGCTAGTCTTGTGAGACACTTGATTTTAGTCGTGTCACACCATCGGCTGTTCTGCATTGGGCATGCAGCTGTTGCCCTGGGACTGAGTTCAGAACCACTGGTGTCCTGCCTGCGGTCTGTTACACGGAAACGCTTAATCCCACAGCGCTGCGTTGGTGTAGCTGGGGGTGGAGGTTGTGTATCTCGGAGGTTGTGTGCACAGTTGAGCTCTTGGGGTTTGTGGGGACTGGCTGACCCAGTGTCGTCTGCGCAGCCGTCAAGATCAAGAAGAACAAGGACAATGTGAAGTTCAAGGTGCGCTGCAGCCGGTACCTGTACACGCTGGTCATCACCGACAAGGAGAAGGCCGAGAAGCTGAAGCAGTCACTGCCCCCAGGTACCCGCCCACACCAGGAGGCGCCGTTTCTATTGGCCAGGAGTTTGGGTGGGCGGACCAGTCACCCATCAGCCTGCTTGGTGCAGATTAAGACATAATTTCGAGTGGTGCTTATGGGATAATGTCATGATCCTTATGAAGAGTGTTGACTGCGGGAAATATGGCTGCATGTATTTGGGGTCCACGCCTTCATGTGGATGTTGTGGTTCCAAGAGGGTCTTCAGTTTGTTCTTGGTTCTGTTGTGTTTAACTGGGGGCCTCTCTTGGCCAGGAGGGGCAGTTTATTTTAGTGAACCAACCTACATTCCCCTAGGCAATCAGTATGAGGTGCAAGGATTGAAAGAGGGCATCTCACCGTTTGTCTTGTTAGTGTTGAAAGGTCTGTCAGCTGTCTAGCTGGTACTTGATATTATAAATGAGGCTAATTGAGATGTTATTAGAACACACCCTGCATGCAGTGTCCCTTTGAAACTGTTGGAACCATTTTGGCATTCAGTCTGTGCAGAGCGGCCATGCCTTGTCCTCAGACGAGCATTCTGCACGTGTTTTGGTTTGATAACATTTTCTCTGTGCAGTGGGGTAATATGGTTACCTGCTGTGTGTCCGTGTTTTACCTGGGTGTGTTAGTATTTAGGGGGTGTGTGGCATAGTGGGCTCAGCCTGGCCTCGACAGAATAGTCACATGTCTGTGGGCCCTTAACCCCCCAGCTCCCTTTGTTGAGACCACAAGCTTCTTCTGCAGAGAGATCAAGATGGGTCAAGGCAAAAAGGATTATTCCCCCAAAGGGTTAATGAAGTATCACTATTCTAGTTCAGTCTGGTGTCTACGCCTTGATGTACTTCCAAATATAAACTGTAGGGGTCATCATAAACATGGAAACTACTGTTTTTTTTTATCTGCTATTAGAGGATTGTTGATCTGCATTAGCTGGTTGGTTGTCAGTCCCATCTGCAGTATTCATCATTGTGCAGGACACGGTGTCACAGCTGATGAATGACAGTGTTAGTGCAGCTTATGTTCCTGCTCCTACTGGGACAGACGGCGTCTGCGAGCCCATGTGTGGCGTGAAACGCCGGATTGATCAGACGTGCCTCTTCGGAGACTTGGTTTGCTCAGGGCCTGTAGCTGCTACCCACTCTGTCACCGACGCAAGATGTCCAAGCATGGCAGGCTGCCCCGTGCCTGCCATTGCATTTACACGCTTGCGAGAGCGACGATGGACCAAGTGCTAGGCTTCATCTTAACAGGAGACCTTAGTTCCACCGGTCCACCGACACACCCTGCTGAGGATTCGGGCGCCCGGCCGCTGCTCTTTATGCCGTCTGCGTACCAGAGGCTTGTTGCTCCGCTCTGTTACTGGGGTCTGTCCGCAGATTTACAGTACAGGATTTGGGAAAGGGAGGCTTCTTCATGGTGGAAATGCTGACACTGTTCTTCACATGGAGAAGTTGATATTGCACCAGGTCTCCTCTTGGGGGCGCCCTTGCAGAGTGCCCCCTGTCTTACAGCGCAGAGTCTGACCGGACACATTGCTAATCACACAGTTCATTGGAGTCCTGCTTGCAGAAGTGGATGGTTACTGTGTCCCCTGTTAATCGGGCTGCTTCTCTTTCCACAGGTCTGGCAGTGAAGGAGCTGAAGTAAAGGCTGCTGTGTACAGAATGTAATAAAAATTGAAAAAGACAACGCCTGTCTGTTTTCAGTTTTATTTATATAGTGTATATTCACAGTATTACATCGTCTCAAAGCGCTTTACATTATTCCTGCCCAAAGCCCCCAGTGAGCAAGCCAGAGGTGACAGTGGCAAGAAAAACTCCCCAGTAGGAAGAAACCTTGGAAGGAACCAGACCCAATGCATCCTCCAGGGGGCAGCAGAGGAAGTTCAGAATAGCAGACTCCCAGTTTCTAAAGTAAAACTGTATTGTCCAGATATAAATGCGGAAGGTCCAGCTGAGGTCAGGACAGGCAGGTGGGGGGGCTAGTTCCTTTAGCGGGATGGAATGGGGTTGGGGGGGG